TTCTTTCCTTTACACTTACATCCTGTAGTTTCATCCTGTAGTTTCATCCTGTAGTTTCATCCTGTAGTTTCATCCTGTAGTTTCATCCTGTAGTTTCATCCTGTAGTTTCTTGCCACCACGAGGTTTTACATGTGATCTCTTGTGTCACAGGCTGGAGGAGAGCCCCTCGAAACGTAAGACTAAAGGCCGGACGTTCAGAACAGATGAGGATTCTTTAAACTCAGGTGAACTCACTTACAATAAGAAATGGAACGTAACCTGTGTGTCTCCCTCTTTAATCACATTCTGATCTCTGTGATTCCCTGTCTTCTGCAGAAGTGGCGATATTTGCCCCTTTAGAGTCAGACATAGACGAAAGTGCCAACTCTGTTCTAGAGCAACAAGTGGGTCAAAGCCTCTGTATTAATGATTTCTTATCACTAAAACCAACATTAGAGATGTTTAATAAGCTGAAACCCATCTTCTGTTCGTTCTTCTCCTCTTCGTGACTGTGCTGCAGTTTGTCAGGTAAGACTAAGACACAACCACAGCTGATCACCGTGCACAGTTTCTCTTTCCTCTGGTCTCTCGGTATGAAAATGACAGTAGAGGATAATTTCTTGATGATTCTTCTGCCTTCACAGAAATGACAGTCCCTCACAGTCTCCCTCAGGTAAACCCTCACAGCACATTCAGATTATATTATTGACTGTACAACTGAAACATGATGCTGAAGTGGTTTGTAAACTTACAGTGGGAAAAGACCCGGAGGATGAAAACAGCGGGAGAAACACAGATGAAGATGAATCCACCATGAATTCAGTGAGTAGCTACTGTGCACAAAGTTTGTGTTAAACAGTTTCCTAATTTCTTTCTTCTTTTTTTTTAACTTTTATTCATCTATTAGTGCATAGACATACAGATAGTATGGACAGATGCTACTAGATAGGTAGCAGGACACAGTGTGTGGAGTAAGAGACAAACAAATAAATCATGATAGTAATAACATAAACTAAAACTCAAGGACAAGCAAACAATAGGAAAATGTTTTCTTCATTTCTAATTTAGTGCACAAGTAGATTTAGTCTTTTAAATTTTTGCTTCTTCAAGATCATTTGAATTAATTTGCGGAGATCATTTAATCACATC